TAATAAGTAAACAAGAGAAATCGTCGACATTCAAAAACTTTAGATTTGCACCAGACAATTAAAGTAGCAGTTAAAAATATTATATATATATATATATATATATATATATATATATATATATATATATATATATATATATGTATATATGTATATATATATCTTCGTATATATATATATATATATATATATATATATATATATGTATAAAGCCAAAGAACATGTTACAATTAACGCTGTGTTACAAAAAATAAAAGACAAGGAACTGTGGTGATATTAGTTTAACAAGTTTGTGGAGAGTGCTGAAACATTTAGGTTTTCGATATAAAAATACAAATAACAAAGAAGTATTGTGCAAACTCTCTAATGTTGTTTCAAAATGGTGGCATTTTTTAAGAAAATAGATGAACAATAAAATATCTGATAGTATGAGGCAAGTTGTATTTTTAGATGAAACTTGGATTTTTTCTAAAGGAAATATGTCAAAATCATCCTTGGAAGATGACCCCACAAAATGATATTGTTCTAGTCGTTCCGGTAATGGTAAACGCTACATTATAGTTCATGCTAAAAATTATGAGGGTTTTCTTGGGGTGTAAAGCTAGTTCGCGCCCGTAGTAGAATACTACACGTGCACCCTGGGTAATGCTAAATGAACTAGCGCAATAGGCAGCCAGACAATCTATTATTTCTAGATATCCTGGCAAGAACACATCACGAATATAAGATATGCCTCCAAGCAACAATTTAAATGGACCTTCTCAGGACCAAGCGTCAAAAGGACTCGGACCAAGCATCCGAATCTGCCATTTAAATATAGAAGGTATTAGTAGAAGTAAATGTGAGTACCTTCAAAAGGTACTCATTGAAAATGATATTGACGTGGTCGCAATTCAGGAAACCCGTGTAGAAAATGAAGAACAAATTCTCGCTAAGAGGAAGAATTCATGGCTATGATTTATTGGGTGCAACTTACCAAATCAGCTTATGGAGTGGCAACCTATGTTCGAAACAAAATAGAAAATGCATACATACGTCCTACATCAGACATAAATAACATTCATACGGTTACTATACAAATTGTCGAAATTACTGTCAGCAATATTTATAAACCCTCGGCAGTCCTTCGCATGTCCTAAGTGGCCTTCGCATGTTATTCACGCCCACCCACACCCCTCAGTTTATGTGGGAGACTTCAACAGTCATCATGAACTCTGGAATTGTATTCACAATGATCAAAACGGCGAGGCTCTAATAAACTGGAGTGAAGAGGATGACACTTATTTAGTCTTTGATGCTAAAGATCGGGCAACTTTTCGATCTGCAGCCTGGAGGCGAGAATACAATCCAGACCTATGTTTTGTTTCCACAAATGAAAACAATCAACCACTGGCAGCTTCACGTACAGTATTGCCAGATTTTCCACATAGCCAACATAGACCAGTTGGAACTTTCCCAGAACTTTCCTGGAACAGACCTATGTGAAACTTTCAAAAAGCAGACTGGGCGACTTTTACTGAAAGATTGGACAAATGTCTGGGATGGATACCCCCAACACGTTCAAACTACATGAGATTTGTTGGCGCGGTTATCTCTACAGCGAAGAAAACTATACCCAGAGGATATCATAAAGAGTATGTCCCAGAATGGGATGAAAAATGCGAGAAATTGTATCAGGAATACAACGAAAGCCAAGATCGAGAAATTGCGGACGAATTACTGCACAGTTTGCCTGCAGCCAGACGAAAAAAATTAGATGGAAACTGTGGAAAAATTAGCCTTTGGTAAATCAAGCAGAAAAGCATGGTCTTTACTTAAAAATCTTTGTAGTAGTAGCCTCCCAACTAGAGAAAAAGTACCAATAGCTCAAACAGAGTGGCCTCCCACATTGTAGCAACCTCAAGAGCACCTAGAGATCGTGATCACACCACCAAAGTCAAACAAGAACTTAAAGTACTAAAGTCTGCATGCCCGCCTACTTCTGAATATTCTGACGAGTTTACTCCAGAAGAAATTATTTCAGCCATATCAGAAATTAAGTCTGGAAAGGCACCCGGCTCCGATAAAATTTATCCAGAATTTTTACTCCATTATAGCCATATTAAAACCAGGAAAGGCAAATAATCAGCCTCAAAACTACCGTCCGATTGCTTTGCTGAGCTGTGTTTATAAACTGTTGGAACGCTTAATCTGCAACAGAATTAGTAAAACGTACTTGAATTGATACCTATTGAGAAAGCAGGATTCAGACCTAACCGCAGCTGCATAGATCAGATCCTATCCTTAACAACACATATTGAAGCTGGTTTTCAAAGAAAACAATAAACATCCGTTGCTTTCATTGACCTATCAGCTGCATACGATACTGTCTGGAGACAAGGAATAATCTGCAAGCTAATCCGTGTCGTCCCGTGTCAAAAAGGAACTAAACTCATTGATAACATGCTCACCGACAGACCTTTTCAAGTCACAATAAAAGTTTCCAAATAAAGCTCAGCAATGGACTGCCACAGGGATCTGTTTTGGCACCCTTACTGTTTAATTTATATATCGCGGACGTACCTAGGACAACTTCGCAGAAATTTGGCTACGCTGACGATTGGGCCATTGCAGCAAGACATAATAACATGGATATCACAGAAACAATATTAGCGGATGACCTTGCCATTATGGGAGAATACTTTCGCAAATGGAGGCTACGGCCTAATGCAACGAAAACCGAAGTGTGCTGTTTCCATCTGAATAATGCCCAAGTAAACAAAAAACTCTCCATTAACTTCGAAAACAGACTGCTCACTCATAACTCAACACCAAAATATCTTGGAGTGACTCTGGACGAAACATTGAGTTTTAAAGAACATCTTCAAAGAACGACAGCAAAGCTGAAAACGAGAAATAATATAGTCCAAAACCTATGTGGCACTACATGGGGGTCCTCAGTCTCTGTACTCAGATCATCCGCTCTCGGACTTGTATACTCGGTGACTGAATATGCTTCCCCGGTATAGCTCAATAGCAAACACAAAAATATTATTGACACTCAATTAAACCAGGCAATGCGAATGATATTAGGTACAATTAGATCCACACCGAACTATTGGCTTCCCATTCTGAGTCACATTCCACCGCCGAAACTGCGAAGTCATTTTCTTCTCAGAGAATATCGAAAAATTGAGGCTAACCATCAACTACCCATACACCAGGATAAGCTTGATATCGAAATAAACAGACTGCGCTCCAGATATCTTCCATTGCTAAGAGCCAACTCCTTACATCAGGAACATTTCAACCTGACCAAAGCTGGAGAACACAATGGGAAAGCGACTCACCACAGAAAGCACATCAAATGGCCTGTATCGATCAGAAACCGCCAGGCTTTGAACTGACCCGCAATACATGGACAACGCTAAACAGAATAAGAACAAGCAGCGATAGATGTGCTGACAGCTTATATAGATGGGGAAAAGCCCTTACTCCTGAGTGTGACTGTGGTGCGCAACGACAGACCGTCCGTCACATTGTTGAAGAATGTTCCCGAAGGCGATTCCCTGGAGTTTTCGATGAGTTGCTAAATGCGACCGAAAATGTTTTACATTATATTAAGAATACATTAGATGTTCGTTTGTAATACTTCATGTAACGTTTTATATTGATTTTTTAATTGTGTGTTCTTATTGTATGCTATACGATAAATAAAATGAGGGTTTTCTTTCTGACGCTAGTTAAATTTTTTCGTCCACAATGAAAACAGGTGATTACTATGGAAATATAGATGCAAATATTTTTGAAGAATGGTTTGAAGAAATTTTTTTAAAAAATTGGAGCGACCATCCATAACAGTGTTAGATAATGCATCGTACCACTCAAGAGTAGAATAGAGATTTCCTTCAAGCAGCTGAACAAAAGAAGAAATAAAGTTGTAGTTGACAGAAAAGATAATATATCACAGTGATATAAAAGTAGATTTACTTCAAAGGTGTGGAGAGCACAAAATCTAAAAGAAATTTGTTACTGATCAAATGGCTCTTAAATATGGCCATACAGTTCTTCAACTTCCGCCCTACGATTGCCACTTTAATGCAATTGTGTTAGTTTGGGGTATAGCCAAAAAATTTTATGATAAAAATGCATCTAAAACAACAGATGCCGATAGCGTTCTTAGTTTATGGAAAGAATCGCTAGAACAAATAAAGGCAAAATAATGGTAAAATTGTATTAGACATACGGAAGACATAATCGTTCAGTCTTTTTATACCGAGCGAGTTAGATTAGTCCTCTTTTATTCGGATAAACAATTCCGATAGTGACGACTCTGATAGTGAAATATCAGAAAGTGAATAAGACAAATCCTTTTCTAAAAAGAAGTAACAAAAAAATTTTTCGGGAATTCAGTTCCGATTTTGTAGTGTGCTTTAGTTAAAGGATAAAGTACCTTCCGTCTAATTACCGGACTGCAAACTCTCAATGGCTTTGGTATTAATTACTGGACTACACGTATTGTAACCTTTTGATTTGCTGAAAACTCGGAAGTGATTTAGTGCCAATTTGTTTCAAAGTTATATTTATTACAGTGTCTTCAGAATGTAAAGTCTTGGATGTATTTTATTCAAATTTGGACATACCGGTAACTTGGCATGAATTTTTCAATTTTACTGCATGCAAAACCATTCGTATAATTTTCGTAGTATTCGAAGTATTCCATCTCACTTCTTTTAACACGTCCTGTATATACATATAATATTAATTTTATTTGCCTTTAATATAGTAAAATCCAATATTATTACTGAACATTAAATACAGGAAATTAAATATTTTTACTTTTCAAGCAATCGGAATTAATATTAACGCCCCACTGATCATATTCGTCCTAATTGCATATCGGCCGTCATAGGGTAAAAGAACTTTAGTAACTTATTATTTATATTATTTTTAATCTTAAACTAAAATTTCTTTTTTACATATTCCTGAGAGTAAAGTAAAAACAAAATCAAAACAGCAATTACCAATTTTTGTTGAGCTGACAAATCATGCGATGGCATTCCATTTCTAAGTGTACAATATCCCATATAACTAGAATTTCCAGGCTGATGCTGCATACCACGGCTGGGTGATGTTTCTATCGTAGACACGTGTTGTCTTTTTCTCGAATAGTCGGAATTCTCGTCTTCGTCTAGCGACTGAGGAATGATATCAGGATTCTTTTCGTCGCTGTCACATTCACCAGCGCTGGAATCGTGTTTGGAAATTGGGCTGCCACCTGTAACATTGGTTTGAAAGATTTATTTATATTTATATTTGTTTTGTGTTTTTTCTAAAATATAATATAGTCTGATAAATATTAAATGAAACTGTAAATCACAAATCACGCGTCGTAAGTGGTCAAAAGTAGCCGAAATCGCGTGTCTTTCATGTATTTTCGGAAATTTTGAATTCGATCAAAGCATTACTCAAGACCAACTAATCAACAGTGGGAGATGATAAAATATACAACTGTGGAAATAGTATATATAAATTATGAAAAGATATAGAGAGTGTAATTAACGCCTATGAATTATTGATATTATGTGATAAAATTAGTGATTTTTGAGTAAGAAGAATTAACAAAAAAACAAGATGTATCCATATCATGCACAGTTGCACCAAGAACTTAATGACGATAACTACAATAAAAGAGTAGAATTTCGTGAGCTGGCACAGGAACAAATTCAGAATGACGCATGATTCTTGGAATACGTTGTATTTGGAGATGAAGCTCCTTTTCACAAGATTGGTATTGGAAACAGATATAATTTCCGCTATTAGATACTCAACTTCTAATTAACAAGAAAATTTTCACCCACAATTTTCATAAACAACATGATCATTAAATGTTTGGGCTGGAATTCCTGGAAATTATGTACAGGACCTTTCTTTTCAAGGATCACGTAAACGAAGCAATGTATCTGAATTTTTTGGACAACCAATTGCTGAAATTATTTTAAGTGTTATCGTTGAATATATCTGCAAAATTATTACCATATACAGCGAAAGATTGCTCGAAAGGCATATTGGAAATATTTGGTTCCATGTCACAGAATAATAAACAATCAGAATGTCCACTCTCAGAAGCCGCCTTTGAAGTTGTTCAGCACGTGCGCCATGTTTTAGAAGGAAACACATAACACAGACATATGATTTGTGAGGTTATGAAATTGTTTATATTTATGTTTAATTATATTATATTTATGTTATTATATTTAACAATGTTAATATAATTGTATAGTATGTCTATGATTGCCGTAAGTCAATTAAACCGGGTTAATTTTTCTATGTACACCACATAAACAACACTGGTTCCCTCTAAAACATGGCGGAACGTCTGCGCGAAGGAGATGCGTGTACTTATTTTTCCATGGAGAGTGGGCATTCTGATTGTTTATTATTCTGTGTCCATGTTTTGAGCAAAATTAATATATCCTTATCCATATTTTGTATGCTTCAAATATAAAGAGATAAAGCTTTTAAAAAGTACATTTTGATTATACTATTTTATGAACTATGCAGTTTTTAATTTATATCAAGCAATAACGAGTAGATATTTGTCTCTTTCGAGATTAATTGCAAACATCTTTTGTAATATGGCAACTGCTGATTTGACGATTGCCAAATCTATTCCCTAATCTATCAAAGGGTAATTGCTAAAAGAATTTTTAATAATTAAACCGCAATTAATCTCCAAAGAAATAAATATTTACTCATTGTTGTTTTATATAAATTACATTATAAAAAGATGTCAACACTGCTATACCGAAATTTTTTGTTCCATGTTTGACATTTGCGGCTATAATCAGCTTGTACTTTCGATAAACTCAATTCAAAATTTTACTGGAAGCGGTTCGGGAAATTGCTTTTTTTGGTAAAAGTTATTTATTAATATCAGTTTCCGGCCACTTGGAGCAATTAAAAAAAAAATGACCAAACAAAATATATAGACCCGAATAAAAAAGGTTTGGTGCAATAGAAATGCAAAAAAGATTATAGGTTAATGCTTTGCTTTTGAAGAGTAAACCAAAAATCATGTTGCAATCCCCACATGACAATTGGTAAATACCACTTTTCTTTTTAATTTATTAATTTTGTCTTTAGTTTTGCTAAAAATGGACTTAATGTTGTTTGGTTTTGAAAGAGATATCTAAGTTACTGATTTTATTACAAAGTACTCTTGATATTTTTTCTCAAATTGGTCCTAAATAAGATAAAGATATTTGAATTCAGCATTTCCTAACAAATTAAAAAAAATTGACTATTTTAAAAGCTCTTTTTCAAATCAGTGAATCAACTTACTCTGTGATTTTTTTTTGTGGGAACAACTGGTTTTCACGTATAAACTATTGGTTTCACTGCTATTTGCAATGGGTTCATCCACAGTATTTTCTCTTTGTAATTAACACTTCTTACACCTATTTTTTGTCTAGGAAATATTAGGATTGTTTGTTAGAGTATGTTAGGTTTGAAGGTCTATACGTGAAGATATAAGGTTAGAACTACGTCTGAGAATGCTTCGATGTTACGTGTTCTCTACTCTTCTTTATGGTTTGGAAGCTTGGACACTAAAACAAGTTCATCTGAATAAGTTGGCCGCCTTTGAATTTTGGTGTTACAGAAGAATCCTACGAATATCATGGACTCAAAGAATGTCAAACATGGAAGTAACTAGAAGGATAGGAAATGAGGCGGAAATAATATTAACTATTAAAAGACGAAAACTTGAGTACTTGGGACATGTGATGAGAGGGCAAAAATACGCATTATTACAACTTATTATGCAGGGCAAAATCCGAGGAAAGCGAAATGTGGGAAGACGAAGAATATCCTGGCTTAAGAACTTAAGGGAATGGTTTGAATGCAGTAGTGCAGAACTTTTTAGAGCGGCAGTAACCAGAGTCCTCATAGCCATGATGATTTCCAACCTTCGATAGAAGATGGAACTTAAAGAAGAAGAAGCACCCTCGTGCAAAAACCACATGTTTTGTCTTAAGGCGAGAGGATTTATCCTCTAGTAATTCGTGTAGATGTTCTGAAGAAAATCTAAATTCAGAGGTCCATTTAAGTTGCTTAGTACTTCAAAAAAACCTATTTAGGCATATTACACCACACCAAATGTTAATCTTAAAGTCGTGCTGAAAATGGGTTTTTCTCTTAGCATGTGGATTTAACAACCTCTGTAACTATCGCCCTCTATTATAGTCTAAATTAGCATTCCTCGTGTCAAAAAACGTAAAATTTACAGTTTTTAAATGGAAACTATGAAAATATACAAAATTATTGAGAAAATTAAAACACATATTTAAACTTTAAATATTCAGTATCTCAGAAAATAGCAATATTTGTACAAGGCATATTGGGCCGAATAACCATATTTTCAGATGTAGAAAGAATCTACAACTCAGAGACTGGACATTCTTAATAAATCACACTGTATATACAGGGTGGCCGAACAAAAACGGAACAGAGGCATTTTCAAGAACTTCGACATTTTTTTTAAAAACCCACTTACGTTTTTTTTTAATAAATAAAGTAAAGGACTGATCGGAATTTAAAAATTTAAAGACAAATGTATAGGGAATAGCAAGGGGTTTAAAACGATATCTTATTAGACCCGTTTGCCATTAAAATGGCGGGTGATTCTTACGCTTGCTTAGAGGTCACACTAAAATAATCCAAAAAACCGGAAATAAAAAACGAAGGAACAATTTATTAGTTTCTCAAAAAGGAAGTTTGAAGTGAGAGTAAAAGCAAAATAGTTTGCGGAATTTAATTTATATTTTGAACATTTGTATGTTGAATTAATGATGCAAAAAGTATTTAAATTTTTGAAAGACTTAAGCAGAGAGTTGTTAATTCATTCACAGAATAAAAAAATCAATCAATTGCATCCTACGATGAACTGGGACATTTGGAAAACCTATCAAAATTCGGAAGAGGTATTAAAAGGATTCCCAAAAGGATTATTTTGGGAAATCCGTATCTAGAATTATTAGTGAAATAAATATCAGAAATTATGTTGGCATAAAAGCATTGATAGAAAAGATTGACAGAAATCTTCAGTTTCTATTTCAGTAGATGTCCGTTAAAAAGCTGACGGTTTCGAAAATAAATAGAACTCTAACTAGAATACTGCAAAAAAATAACAGATGAGAAGAACGAGGCATTTAGGACCATGCAACAACGAAAAATTAGAACAACAATAGATAGATACAAAAACTTTAACAGAGAGGAAAAACGCATACACCGAAAAAAAAACGAGACTCGAAAAATTACATTTATTTACATTCACGTTTATACGTGAAAACCTTCACAGGTTTTCACGTATAAACTATTGGTTTCACTGCTATTTGCAATGAGTCCACAGTATTTTCTCTTTGTAATTAACACTTCTTACACCTATTTTTTTGTCTCGGAAATATTAGGATTGTTTGTTAGAGTAGCTTATAATTATTTCAATTATAGTTATTTTTATAGTTTTGCCAGCCTAAGGGGTTAGATTAAAATAATAAAGTTGATGATGACGTGCAAATTTTCGTATTTTTACAACGTCTCGAAATAAAATACCCTGAATTGTATTTTAAGAAAAAATAACATCTAATATGTCAACTTTCTAGTCTAATTGAATATATCGTAAAATAAGGTGAGATTGATTATTTGTCACTGTATCATATATATGTAGATATAACCGGCAACAATTTAAATTATTTTTCCCCGTAGCTATACTCATATACTCGGGTCTGGACATCGAGCAAAAAGACAAAAGAGGGAATGTAATCCTTATTAAAGGCGACCAAAAAAGTGGCCTTTGATGGCGGACATATCCGGAAATGCGAATGCGCCAAATTTAAATTTTCCGACACTTATTAACAGTAGCTATATAACATTTTTCAGAATTTGTGTTAGACGAGAAAGTTTTAATTAATTATTAACGGTAATAGTCTAAAATGCGACACAATTGTTAAAAAACTTCAATATAAATAAGATTTCATGTGACATTTGGGATAAACAATGACGTATAATATATAGACTACGCAGTCCCCTATTCTCGCTATAGAATCGAGAGTCCGAAAGATCTCCGCTCAAGACTGAAGGTATGTTTATTAGAACAGCGGCGTGTTCATTTATATTTTAATGACAATAATTATTTTTTTAATTAAAATTAAATATTTATGATTTCTTTTTGTCCCATCTATAAGAGAAATAATTATTTTGATAAAATAGTATGGCATTTTACTAAAATAGTAAGTAAATAACTCTCAAAAATTAAAATAAAATTTGCTTGTCACACAAAATGGAGAAAATGCTTTCATACGTCCATGATGTTTTCAAACACAAGATCAACTTCGTGATGCTTCGTAAGAAATCATGAACTTCGTGTATCTTCGTATCAAAACAATAAACAATAACAAAGGTATTCATGTTTTGGACACTTTTTAAAGCGTTCACCGAGTCTATATATTATACGTCATTGGGGATAAACAATAACATAACCCAACTAAATTTGATGTCAAACAAGGAGAGAGACTCTCTTTCTTTATTTATTGTGGCCTCTAAAGATCGCACTTCCTGTCTAACCATATTTGTGCCCCCACTACCTTTACATTGCCTCTTTTGTCTTTTTGCTCGATCGGTATGGACCTATGTTCACATTGTTGTTACTTTGCAATTAAAATTGGACATTGACAAGATCTGTTACTTTGAAATTAACAATCATGTTTAGCCCATTTTCATAGTTTGTGTACTTTTGTTGGTAGAGAAAAAACGGAGGTAAGTTCGCTATTTTCAGTGTTTTGTATTGTTGTGCAATAGAACTTTTAAGTATTTAGCATTTTAACTAACTTAGCTTTATTAAGATGACAGATGACATTGAATGAGGTGACATTGATTAAGTGATCAATCTAACCCCACGTTACATACGTTCGAAACTCACGTACGAAATCTATATTATATATATATATATATATATATATATATATATATATATATATATATATATATATATATATATATGTGTGTGTGTGTGTGTATATTTATATATACTTCATCTAATTAACTTACCGATGCACGTCATTATCATTGACATATATCGAAGTTGACATAGTTGCCAAAGTATAAAAAAATCCTGACTCCATTTTAAATCAAATAGGTCACGTATTTATTGCAAAAAAAGTATTTCCATCTCTTTACAACGACTATTTAAATTCTTACGTGATATTTTTGGACTAAAACACACTAATTTTGTTCTAAAAAGCACAGATTTTATTAAATCGGTAAAAATATAAAACAGGAGGTATTCACTTTAAAATTCAAAATAATAAAGTACAAAAAGTGTCAACACCAACTGTCAAATAAGTGTTACCAATTTATGACAAAATTTTACCTTGGTTCGATTACAGTTACAGTGTGTTCCGAACAAATGTTCTTCACAGAAACGCTTTATAATGCATTTATACAAATTAAATGAAACATTTTTTTGAAAATTGTGTATTTCTTTAAGTTAACATTAATAGAAATCTTTAAATATTATTTCTACACGTATATAATAAAATATGTCTAGTGGCTGAAATGCCAGTGTACTCGGCAAAGTGTTTCTAAAAAAGAACACACCTACCGTCTAAATGTTTCGTGTTGATGTCATGTGACGTCATGGGCTATGACTCCGATGACGTGCATCGGTATATAAATAAGATAGAGTATATATAAATAGTATATGACGCACGCAACACGTATATAATATATAACAATTTTTTTTGGATGGGGGAAGTTTTCACTTCTGTCGGCACACCCCCAGTGCCGTTTTTTTTTTCTTTAAAATATTCTGAATTACATTTTTAGTTCTTAAAAATCTTCTGTTTTGTTTGGTATAAATAAAGAATAGTAAAATAAAAATAGTGTAATCATTTTCACCACGCAAGGTCCATCTCACTCCTTTGTAAAATTTCAAAAATCTCTAACCGAATTAGTCAGGCTTGAGATTGATCAAATTCTATTTAAAAACACCACTGTTTCATGCTTTAAAATCATCATCATTATTCTCACTATGTTCACGAATATATGATCAATCAGATTTTTCTTATAAGATAAGTGGATGTTCTTAAAAATGATAACAAAAGTGGTGTTAAAGCATTACTCTTTAGGTATTAATATAATACGTGAAGTGTTTAAAGATAGAAAAAGGCAGAAATAATAAAAATTGGCACTGGGGAGTGCCGACAGAAGTGAAAACTTCCCACATCCAAAAAGAATTGCTATGTATTATATACATGTTGCGTGCATCATATACTATTTATATATACATACACATATATGTATACATAAAATATCTCGCGATAGTGGTGACGGTCGCGAATTCAATGCTTTTTGCCCCATCCAAAAAGAAGTACTATGCAGTATATATGCGTTGCATGCATCACATACTATTTATATACAGTGTGGCAACCACTTATGGAAATAAAATTGTTTGTGTCCTTATTACAGATAATAATCAAAAACTCTGGGACACGTTAACTTTTAAATTTAAATGTGCGCTTTTTAAATATAAGTTTAACTGTACAGGGTGATCCACGCACGTCTGGCATAGTCCATAAGCCTTATTTTTAATGAAACACCCTGTATATTTTTATGTTTTTAAAATACTTTTAACCATTTAATTTCAATGAACTATATTATGTAGAGGGTCTATAATGAATAATACAAGGTGAAATTTTTATATTAATAATTTATCACGTGTTATGATATTATTTTAAATTAGCTAAATACAGACAATAGACTTCTACTCTAAGTGTCAGTACACTGTATATTGGGGAAAATTTCTGTTTAGTAACCGTGTTAACATTTTTTGTCGTGAATAGGTAAAAACTATATAGATAGTCTGCTAATTAAACTAAATCGGTAAATAATGCGGAATGTTATCAATCAGTTGACATGCTGTTGACATTTTACATTAAAATAATAAATTTTTAATTAAAAACTAATTTCTTGTAGAAATAAAAATGAAATATTTAACTAAGGCCCACTGAATTGAGATTTTAATGATGATCGGTTACGAGGAGAATTGTAGAAGTCAAGTTGAAGTAGTAAACTTATTTAATCAGAGGTATCCTAAGTTGCCTAATATTTCACAAGGTACTGTGTCTAAAATTTATGCACAATTTAGAGAATTTGGACATGTCAAACCATTAAAAAGAAAATCGAACTTCATTGAAGATGAAGTGAAAGTGGATTCTTTCTTATGTGTCGCAGAGAATCCAACGTCAAGTTCACGTCAAATTGCACGTCAAAATAATTTAAGTCACACAACTGTCCTAAGGTGTCTCCATGAAGAAAACTTCAGCTATATAAATTGACATTTGTGCAGAAGCTAACAGAAGACGATTCGGATCGTAGAATAAATTTCTGCAAAATAATGATGGATAAAATTAACAAATGAAATAGCTCTTGGCACAATTCATTTTTCTGATAAATCAACATTTACATTGAACGGAGAGGTAAACTGACAAAACTGTAGATATTGGTCAGCGGAGAATCCTCATTGGATGCGTGAGACACACACTCAGTACCCACACTCACAGACAATCCTCTGATCATATTATTGGTCCTATATTTATAGATGATAATTTGACAGCGGAAAAATATTTAAGCATACTAAGAGACGTTGCCGATTCTATATCTCGGATATAGAATGGGCAACAAAAGAATTGGTATGGTGTGTTACGCAGACGATGCAGCAATTATTGCCGAATCAGAAGATGATCTCCAAAGGCAGCTCTTTCAGTTCTTTCAAACAAACCGACTACTAAATATGAACATCTCTACCAACAAAACTAAATGTATGACAATAGCAAAAGATCCGCTCAGATGTAAGTTAGTGGTTGAGAACAACCCCATAGAACAGGTGATGCAATTCAGATATCTGGGCATAGATATATCAAGCACCCACGACCCAGTAAAGGACCTGAGGAGTCAGATCAATAAAGCATCTGCACTGTCAGGATGTCTGCGGGAGATAGTCTGGTCAAATCCGTATATGCGCACAGATAGTAAAATTAGAATCTATAAGACTTGCATACGACCGATCATGACATATGGCATAGAAGTGCGCGAAGATACTAACAAAACGAAACAGATGCTAAGGGTTGCCGAAATGAAAACCCTAAGAACAATAATGGGGAAAACAAGAAGAGACAGAGCGAGAAATACAAACATTAGAGAGCAGTGCAAAATTCAAGATATTGTAAGATGGGGAAGGCAGCGCAAGAGGATGTGATACAACCATGTAAGACGAATGGATGAGAATAGACTCCCAAAAATTGCCCTAGAAAACAATCCGCCCGGTTCAAGACCCCCCGGAAGACCACCTAAAAGATGGAGTGATAGTTGGCAATCTACCTCCCAAGAAATTAACCAGAGGCAGCTTCAGAATTAAACAGATCGAAAGATCTACAAGAAGTAGAAGAAGAAGAAGAAGACTAAGAGGCGATGTTCTTCCTCAGTTGGCTAACTTATATCCCAATCCAATAGATCCGACCCTACCGCATGAAACTGTCTGATTCCAGCAGGACGGTGCAATTCCTTTAATGGTGAGAAATTATTTGAATGGAATCTTCTTCAATAAGTGGATTTGATGAATGGGACTGGTGAGCGCCCAGCTAGGGCCCCAGATCTTACGCCTTTGGATTTTTTTGCGGGGTTATCTCAAGTAAGGATAACTACAGAAATACGGAATATTTCACCTCAAACTTTAAACAAAGTTCGGTACGAGTTTTATAGGAGACTGTGTTATTGCCAACAACAAGGTGGAGAACATGTTGAGCATTTATTTTAGTGTAATTCAATCAATTACCCAGGGTATTTTATGATTTCATTGTCTTGAAGAAAATACCTAATTTCAAAATTTCACCTAGTATTATTGTACATTCAAATGTATGTGTAAAAAGCGTACATTTAAATTTAAAAGTTAAGGTGTCTCAACGCTTTTTATTATTTTCTAAAATAAGGACACAAACAATTTTATTCCATAAGTGGTTTTCACACTGTATAATACATAATATGTCTCGCGGTGACGGTCGCGAGTTCAATGCTTTTTCCCCATCCAAAAAGTGCATAACGTCGCTAAAGAAGTTTTTACTTCAAAACATATTAAAATTGATCAAACTCACACCATTTCACGATAAATAAAAAATAAAACAAAATAAAACGGTTTTAAAAGATGACAATAGCATACTCACCGCCTTTGTCGCTCAGTGTTGGAAGGCTTCCCGATCCCCTGTGCTCCAGATTACTCCTGCTGACCGCCGTGGCGCTATTTTTATGCCCTTTTAACCGGATCTCGTTGTGATGAGAGCACTGCATACGCAACACCATTATGACTACCAAAGCAACAATCAACAGTGCAGAAACGACACCAATCAGGATGCTCATCATAGGCGTAAAGTGGAAACTGCCAGAACGACTGCTTTCTGCATTGTTAAATAAAAATAATAAAAAAGGTATTGAGTGTTTTTATAGTAATTACTAGTCACTACATTTTGAATGCATTTTTGTTTAAAAAAATGAAACAAAATCTAACAATTATCTTGTTAGAAATAATTGGAAACATTTTGTAACAACCAAATTGCAAGTACTTTTTAACTGAAAAAATCATTTAAAAGCGTAAAAAATTTTGTGTGCACAATAATTAATCAATAACGGTAAATAACAAAAAAAAACCGGTATTTTGTATTATTTATTATGAATTTGAAACACTCTAGGCTTTGAAATATAGCAATTAGTTATATTTGTTTAAAATTACGATTTTTTGGCGTGAAGCATGTTATAAACGAAGTTTTTTGCATAAATCGCTCCAAAAATCAATTCTTCTTAAGGCCGATCCTCGCGATTCTGGGCATAGGTAAATTCCAATGTAAAAGTTTATATCAAATAACACAAAAACTATGGCAGATATTGAGATGATTATTTTTTTAGATGGAAGGTCTAAAAAAGTTCTAGTGCACTATTTGGTTGTAAATTAATAAATTGTTTAAACAATATTTTTTTTTCAAATATTTTTGGTTAAAATAAACGTAAAATTTTTTGTTTCAAATAGGGCACTACAGAATTTGACCCACTTTCCGAATCTGTTTTTATTTTTAACATAAAGTGTAACACAAAGCAGCTATTTGATATAAATTTTTAAAAAATTTCAAATTTCTGCTAAATGCAATTTTCTCTCCGTCAGCACAGGGTATCCTTGTCGGTAGCTTTTGGATTCTCGCCAGGTAGGTAAAACCCTCGGAGGATAAAGTTGAATAACATTATTAGGGCTTATTCCGACTTTTGACAAACCAGTGTGTTTATTGTATTTAAAATAGGAAATTTTATATAAATAAGCAGTAAGTACCTATCATTTTATTAAATTGGTATATGAATAGAAATATTTTCTGTTGATTTTCCATTTTCCTTCTAAATATTTATACTGTTGTTATAATAATACTATTGTTTCAGTATTTGCTTATATAATAATAATTTATTATATAGAAACAGCGTAGAGTTTTGGTCAATCATCCAGTACATTTTTTTTTGTATTTCAATCAGAATTATTATTTTCTTTTCTTCTTTACATGAGCTCAGAGTAATAACCAAATATTTTGCAGTATTTGAATATAAAATTTAATTATTTATATTTATTGGTTAGCAACCTACCAATCGTAAAATCAAATACTGCTCAAAGAAACAATGTACAGTCTCGGAACCGGATTGATACTATGAAGACGACTACGGCATTTGCATTAAATTGTCAATAATTAAAAAACAGCTCCAAATTCGAGGCAAGAAATAAGTAGGTTTTCTTCCTAGACGTCTACAATAACTAAAAAAGTTGTCAGCGACCTGGATTATTGAGTGTCACGAACATGGTCTATTTTTTGCTTATTTCCCTGGAGTATATATTTGATTAACATTTGTGTAATTTCTTTGTCGCTTCCTCGCTGGTTTTGCATATTGCTATGATAGCAATATCTTCGGTAAATGTTGCAATTGTATATTTTCTAGGACAATAATATAACACGTATACAAAAGGTAAAGACACTTCTTTGTGGCAGCCCTGCTGTAACATCTGTCAATTCCATGAATGTTTCTTCCTGTTTAATTCTGAAATATCTTTCCAAGATGCAGGAGTCAATTATTTGAGTGTATCGTTTTGGTAAATGTAGTCTTAGTTTATATTTATGTTATGAGTCACATCCTAAATTATTGATATAAGGTTGAATGCTCGAATAAATGAACTTTAAAAATGAAGGCCAATTTCGAGCACAAATTTAATAATCAAATCTTGCCCAAGTACTTTCGCTTTCTACAGCATCATCAGGGGCATCTGCGCTTGCTGGATAGCCCAAATTTGACGAAGTAAGTCTAAAATGTTAATCACAAAAAACTTTTATCATCCATTAACTTTTTTATCGAAGTTTATTAATTTTCTTCATTTAAAAAAACTTTTCTTGGCCTTTTTCAGATGCCCCTAATGATGACGTAGAAAGCGAAAGTACATGGGCAAGATTTGATTATTAAATTTGCGCTCGATATTTGCCTTAATTTTTCAACGTACATCCTAAAATGTCCATCATATTATCCTTCATGATCCATATTTCACATCCATATAAACAGTTATACAGTATATTTCATCATCATCATCATCATCATCATCATCAATGTCGCTACAACTCTTCGTAAGTCTTTGCCGCGGTTACTATTGCCTTCCATGTTTGTCGGTCCTGTGCCAGTAATTCTCATTGTCGCACTCCCATTTTCTCTAGATCTAGGAGTATATTTACATATAACAAATTAAATCCTTAGTTGTAAATGTTTGAAATAAGTACTCAGTATACATCTAAGTTTCATAAATGCTTTGTACTCCGTTTTTTGTTGACAATTAGTTGCATAGGGCCGACGTTTACTAACCACAAGCACACAAGTAAATTATCTTATTTCTTTCATTTGACAATAATAATTGTCTGTTAGATTAGCATTGTAAGAAGTAAATTAGTCTCCTACTGAATGATAATAAACAACACATCAAACTTATTCTGAAACTATTTCTTGTCTCATGTTATATTTTATTAGATTTTGGTGAAATAAACCACAACCTATCAAATTCAATATCAAAAATCAAAATTGGAAATGATAGCGTGACTAAATTATTCCTTCCTTTAAGAAATTTTAAAAAGAGCTGATTTCTATTACTATCCAGTGCAAGGACAGTTATTTTGTTATTTATATCGAATAGAGAACACTGTTAGTTTGCGGTATGGACCCCAAAAAATATTTTATTCGAAAAAATTGATAAATATATGGAACTTGTGGGAAAATATGTTACAAAAATTTCAAGATTTTTATTATAATTTTTATTTGAAACACCTTCTGAAGAAACATTAGACATAATTCTATATTTACCTATATCGTTTCATTTTATCAATTTTAATGATCGTGATACTAATAAAATTTTTATGATATATAATAATAATCTTTTTTTTATAATTTTTATGCTCCGTAAACTTTAATCTACGTTAAAATTAAGACAGCCAATTTTTCCGTAAAAAAATAACAAATAAATTATGTACGCACATTTGTTACATTGTAAATTTATGAATAGATTATATTACTTTGATCTGTTATTATATTTACTCAAAACACGACTAAAGAGATTTATGGTTTTATTGTAAGCCAAAACCTGTCACTGCAGGGGTTGTCTCGGTGTATAATCGGCTCGAGTAAAAGATAAACGCATTTTTGACCTGGGATTGAGAGAGATATCTAAACGAAGTTTAGAATATTACTTCATGCACATATTTTGTTTTCGTAAAGAAAGAAATTTTTGAAATAGAGATAGCAAACTGAAATTTACCTTTAGGATTTTCGAGGATGAGCCTTAAGGTGCCTTCTCCAATACTAAAGGTTGGCTATAACTACAGCAAATTGCTCTCTATCTTGAGCTATTCTTAGTATCGAATGTGTGTCTATACCTGTCTAGTCTCTTACATTCTTCAACCATGAGCATTTTCTTCTTCTTGGACCTCTTCTTCCTTCCACGTTCCCTTCCATTATAAGTCGTAGGAAGTTTTATTTTTCTCCTCTGTAAATATGTCCTAGATAACTCGTTTTTCTGTTTTTTACAATATTTAAGAGTTCTCTCTCAGCACCCATTGTTCTTAGCACCTCGTTGTTTGTCACGTGCTCAGTCTAAGAGATCTTCAGCATTCTTCGAAAAACCCACATCTCAAAGGCTTCTATACGCCTTATACTTGCAATTCCGAGAGTCCATGTTTCCACTCCGTATAGCAATATGGAATAAATAAATGTTTTTACAAACTAGTATCGGATATCCAACGATAACGTAGAGTTTATTAGGAATTCTCATATTCGTTTTTCGTACGTACACGTAGCACGTATTTCGACCTCGTGGTCAAGATCATTTGTTATCCAGCAACCAAGATACTAGAATCTTAATACTTGTTCTATATGTTTGTTATAGATACGAATATTAATGTCTACATTTGGTGCACGTGTAACGGTTATTACTTTTGTTTTATTTGTGTTTATATTTACTCCCAAGCTATCTCAGTTATCTCTGGTTATAAAAATCACTAAAAATGATAATTTCACTTTGAGCGAGTTTTAAAATGTGGGTGTAGCTTTTTATTAAACAAAATATGAAAAAAAAGCAAAAAAAAACTTCCTCTTTTTTTCGCATATATCTCAAGAACTACATACATCAAAATAATCTAGGGGACACGTATATTAATAGCTTTAAATCAATGTTAGCTGCAAATACAAAAATAAATTTATGTTTTTAATCATTTCTGTTGTTTTGTCGATTATTGTATTAACTTGACGGTAATGCTGATAATAATTAAAAATTAAGAAAACTTCAATAAGTTTTTTTTCTATAAGATAAAAACTAATATTTTTTCAGAGAATTCAGTGGCGTGCTATCGGGATGCTGTAAGCAATCATAAGTCAAAGAGACGTTGCTGAGGTCCTCCACACAAACAGAAGTGTCATTAATCACTTGTTATTATGGTATCAAGAAACTAGTGATATTGGTAAACGTCATTGGTAAAATAGTCCGTACAAGGATAACCAACCAGATTAAAGATTAAATATTGAAGACCGTTTTATTAGGTTGCAGGCTTTACCAGATCGCTCTGTAACTGCATCACAATTACAAATGAGGCTACAAGAGATATATAAGGTGTTGGACCTGTGAGTGGACCTCTACTTTGTTTCCTGATGAGTGCCGATATTGCACCAGATACAAGATAGACAAAAATTTGGAGACGATCTGATAATGCTGAATGATTGACCACACCGTGCAGGAGGTTCACAGACAGCAACATGGCAGTATAACAGTATCTGCTTCTTCTTTAAGTGCCATCTCCACGACGAAGCTTGGCAATCATCATGGCTATTCTGACCTTCGAGGCAG